ACACACACACACACACACATATATATGTGTGTGTGTGTGTGTGTGTGAAATACTTAAAATGGCTAATATCTCTATCTTTTTATTTAAGCTAAAACCTTAAGGACTTATTAAGAGAGTAAATTGAGAACATTCGGTTCCACAAACACTTGTTTGAATGTTTTAGACTGAAGAGTTGCTCTGACTTGCAGGTAAAAGGAAACAAAATAAAAGGCAATTTGTGCAGGAGAAGTGAACACATCGTGGTACATCCAGAATCTTCAAGCAAAGCCGTTCAGCCTCCGTGAGATGTTTCTGTTTCATCATGCACTGATTTTATTCCTTTTTAGCATCACTTTGATTGTTTTTGCTAACATATTTAAAAGATAAGGACAAATCCAGCCCCCTAGCAGCGAGACAATAAAAAGTTGCCACATCGTAACGGGACTAAGGGAGCATGAAGGAAAAATAAAATGTTTTGTTCCAGAGACAATAAGAGGTATGTATGGCTGATGTGTGAGCTTTGACTTTGCCGTTCAAAGTGTGCAGGGAAAGTCATTCTTCCATTGGGGAGCCAGGAGGGGAGAAGAAAGCTGGTGGTGTGTGTGTGCTGGGGGGGGCAGCAAGCAGGCGGCCTATTTGTAAATCAAATGAGTTGCTAAAATAGAGCAGATTGTTTGTGCGGTCACAATGAATTCTGATTGCAAATTGTTACTGTGCCTGCTGAAATGCAAGTTTCATTTTAGCGACCTTCAAACAAATAGGCAGCACCTCTGGTAGAGTTGTGTCCCTGCAAGAGCATATTTATCCTTTTTATTGTCAAATTATTATTTTTTTTTTTTGTAAAACAAAATAAATAAAGTCTCAATGCTTAGGTTGTGTGCAAGGTAAACACATTCATTCTCTTTAACTTTGTTATTATAAATCAGCAGCTCTCCAACATAGACATGCATTAAAGTACAGACATTTATCAGGAACCAATTTATAAATTATTATTTATTTTTTAAGTTTATCATTTGAGGGAATTGTAAATAATAATCAGATGTTCAGAGATCAAAACACAGAAAAGACTGAACAACCTTCAAAAACTTATTTCAATTTATTTTTTTAAAATGATTTATCTATTATTTTTTTAAAGAAGATGTTTGTTGTGTTCAGTACAACAGTGAATGTGAAAGATCTTGTTTTGTTTGTTTGTTTCCAGCTTCTTTTAAAGTAAGGCCAAAAACCAGATTCAACAGACTTCCTGTCAGTTCTTTACGAACAATTATTGAAACACGAATAATCACCGACAACTGTGACTGAACAGTTTTAATGAAAAAATTGTTTTGCAACACTTAGAAACATATTTTTCAGCTTTAATTCATCCAAGATGAAAAGAGACAAAACAGAGATTACATATTAGATTACAGCCATCACATGTTGGTTGGATTTAGGGAAATTGGGCTTAATCTATGAGGGTGATTGAATCAAATTTGGAGACAAATTAATAAATAAATCAAGGAAAAAAACTATTATATTTACTTTAAAATGGATACCGTATTATTCGGACTATAAGATACACTTAATTTTTATCAAAAATTGACAGTGAGCCTTATAATCTGGTGTGCCTTTTGTATTAATTCTGGTTGTGTTTACTGACCTCAAACGATTTTATGTGGTACACAGCGCTCAAAAATGTGTATTGTTTTGTATTTTATGTGTTACAACTGAACAATGTTGAGAGTTATTGTGAATGAGTTGAATAAAATTTGACTTATCTGACTGTTTTGTTTCACTTAATCCGCCTTATGTATGAAAACAGACCCGTTCATTGATAGAGCATCTTATAATCTGGTGCGCCTTATAGTCCCAAAAATACAGTATTTTGTTTTTCCCTGTCTTGTCTTTTCTCTTTAAAATTAAATTCTGGACTTGGTGGAAGACGTCTTCTTAGAGCGGAATATTTCACAAGAAATACCTGACTTGTCGAAGATTCATCACCACAAGAAGATCTTGAGTTGAGATTGATTCATCTGGTATTACTGATGAAAAACTAGATGAAATTGTGCAAAACAAACAAATAAACAAAAACCATTAAATTATGATCATCATAATTGTTGTAGTATTGTAATTTATTCAGTAATGGTTGTATAAATATACACCAAAAGCTTTTTACAGTAAATATTGTATTTAATTAAATATTTATTCATTATTTTTGATTTCGAGTACTTCCACATAGCATTTACTTATTAACAAGTTGACTAACCAGCAAAGTAAAATGAAGATACTGGTAACAACACCTTAGTGTTAAAAAAACAAACTTACCAAAAGAAATAGGCTATAAATAATTGTTTTATTCCCATAATCATTCATCCCTATTTATTTCACAAATTAAAAAGAAACTTCTTTAAACTTTGTAAAAAAGTATTAAGTGTATAATTGGTTATTAATAAATGTTAAATCATTAGCAATTTTGCAAATAAAATAAAAATTGTCTGTAGTCACTCCTTTCACAACTTTAAGGTTTATTTAAGGGTTAAACACACACACACACACACACACACACACACAAACGCACACAGGTTATGTGAAAGAAACAAACACACACACACACACACACACAGGCTCGTCTTTTTATAGGAACTTTGCTTTGACTTCCACTCGTTTTTTTAAAATTAATTTCTATAGCCTAACCCTGACCCATATTAGACACACACATATGCACACACATACACACACACACACACACACACACACACACACACACACACACAATGTAGCAAGAAAAAGTCAGACAAAGTTTTGGGATAAAGAAGTGATTTTGACAACATGATGTCAAAGCTTAACTTGCTCGTTCAGCTGAATTGCAGTTAGATGAGCTCTGCTGCCTGAACGTGTATTTCATGATTGAAGTGCAAAACACATCTCTGCCTTTACTGTGGTGCAAGGGTGAAAGACGTTTTTCTAAAATTAGTTGTAAAAAATACAATATTAGCTTGATTCCCATGAGTCAGCTGAACTTACAGGAGGATCATGCAACACATCTTACTCTAAAATGGAGCATCTTGTCACAAGTAACCTATTAAAACTCTTAAGT